AATAGAGTTGGTTTGGGCTCAAGTTAAAGGATTCATCGCAAAGAATAACAAGACCTTTAAACTGCGTGAAGTAAAGAAATGCCTATACGGTGCTCTGGAAACAGTCGACCAAAAAGCTTGGGAAAAATGTATCCACAAAACAAAAAGAATCGAAGCAGAGACTCATTATCAGAAAAAATTATTCCAGTTGTCATCAATCCTGATGAAACAGATTCATCCAGTGGAGAATCACTCAACAAATCCCTGTAGACTTTTTTCAGATTGAAATTATCGCAATGCTTTATTCGAAGTAAGTATTCCCATTAAATCTATAAAATTGTTTCTGAATCAACTATAAAATCCAATAAGGAATATGAATCTTCATTTCCAAACCAACAAGAATATATAAAGTGTATCTATCATTGCAGCCACGCTTTTCTACTTCCTGAAAATGTCAAAGTCGAAGCCGAAACGTCGAACAACGCCAAATTTTGAACGCGTTTCAACTTGAAATCAAATGTTCAAATTTCTAACCGCGGAAATCTATTCTATTTGTATACCTATCTGGTGATGTTTCGAATACTTCATCCATCTTCATTATCATACCGACGATCAATTTGATATTATCAGTGTCAATGATAATAATAATATCAAATACAAAACGATATTTATCGTGGAGTTTTCAGCTCCTGGCAGACGAATATCGTCCGAAAAGAGGAGGAAAAACGGATGAAATATCGAGATTTTCTCTTCGAAGTCCGCAGACTCTATCCAGACCACTCTGTCAAGATGGTTGTTGTGATTATTGGAGTTCTTGAGGAACCTGTACTCTCAAATCTTAAAATCATACCGGCTTGCCGCAGTAAGGAAGAAATCTTAGCCGGACAGATGCAGAAGACTGTCATTCTGAGCTCACTGCGCTTGCTCAGGGCACATGATTTTTGAGCCCAATGATCACTTACCCCACACTATGCGGAGTGGTCATTGGTTGATGATGCTGGCGCGCCCTCCCGAATGTATCGGGGGATAGGGCCTGACCAGCGCACACGACGGTGAAAAATAATGATAATAATAATGGTTCCATACAATTATTCAATATCTGCGTATGATAAATCATCGCAGAGATTACTCTTCCATCCAACTGTCAGAACTTTTTTTATTCAGAAATACTCTGTTGGAATATATTGTTCAAATTTACATAACTCCGTTTCAGAATTTGCGAACTGTTGTTAAGATATAGGTCCAAGTTTTTTGTAACTCCTTTCAAGGCAAGTTCTGTCCGTCTATTACAATGTTTATGAGGCCAGAACGACGATTTCTCGCCGCTATTCTACCAACGAGCATGACATTAGATTAAGATGCAATATTTATTTGACGAAGATAATAACATATCGAGAGCGGTATTAATTTGCCATGGAATTCTCGTCGAATTCCATGTACAGCTGATTATTATCGGCATAACAATGCATGGTTGCGAATTGCAGTGACCTATGAAATTGAGATGTGTATAAAACGAACAAGAGAGGGCATAATATTGAACATTGAGGAACACCGTTTCAATTTGTATTAAATCAGATTTTTTTGGTCTTGCTCAGTCTCCATGGTGAATTCTATGCTCGTGTGTTGGGCGTCCAAGTGGTTTAGGAAACGGTTCAGGGCGTCCCTTCCATGTTTCCAGATGACGAAGGTGTCATCCACGTAACGTAGCCACAAGGTCGGCTTCAATTCAAAAGTGTCTATCGCCTTCCCTTCAAATCGTTCCATGAAATAATTTGCTATCACTGAGCTAAGTGATAGCAACGCCACGCAATGCCATCTAGCTGCTAGTTACTTGTATCCAAATTCACAACTACCGGTAGTGTACATAATAAAAAGCCCCCAGGTCATCCGTCTATTCCGGAAAAAAAACAAGTGCAAATAATTGGTGAGAGGGTGAATCCTGAACAGTCTACTTATTCCATCGCGAATGTTTGTGAGGTTTCTCTTTCTACTGTGTGGAGACTTTTGAAGAGAAATAGGTATCATCCATACAAACCATACAACCAATTAACTGAAGATGACCCTGATTGAAGAATCTGCAAAATCATGACGGAAACCAACGGTAATGTTCACAGAAAAAATTGCCGTTATTGGAGTGACATCAACACTCACGTTTTCCGGGAAACACATACTCAATATCCAGAAAAAATGAACGTTTGGGTGGGAATATTGAAAAACCATATTGTAGGACCTCTATTTATTGATCATAATTCAACAGGGGAACTGTATTCAAACATGATGGAAACTACTGTTGACCCTCTCATCACTGAAATCGTCGAATGAATTCGATATGTCTATTGTATTCCAACAAGGTGGAGCACCACCACATTACCCCAAACAAGTAAGAAACTCTTTGGATACTACTTTTCCCGATCGTTGGATTGGCCGTCAATGTCATACAAAATGGCCAGTCCGCTCGCCAGATTTGACACCTTTGGACTTTTTTCATAAGGCTATTTGAAGCAGAAGGTGTACGAAGGTGACCCTGCTTCAATATTAGATATACGGCAGAGAATAATAAATATTTACATTGAATAAAGTTTTGTCAGTTATTCGTGAAGAAAGTTTTTTTCCTGATATAAGAACTCGATTATGGAAGATATAACATGAGCTGAATTTCACTTTTGGAAAGCAAGATAGAAAGAGCATGTTAATAGAAAAATCAGAGACTGTAGAAGTTTTCACCATATTTTAATTTTCCTCTCATCATACAGAATATATGAATGGAAAATTTATATTAATACCCCCAGTCCGACGCCGATCAATATTATCTTAAACGTATTATCAGAAAAAAACTTCGAGCGGTTCTTTTGGCGGTATTTTCGCATTCTGTGTCGGTGTTTTCGCGTTCTTTGTCACATATCCCTATTTCAGTGGCTCGTTAGCGGCATCCTCAAGGGATATAGAGGGTAGACATATCTCAATGATTTTGTGGGTGAATTGCAGTCCTATTTGCTCGAGACGATTATGTTGCTATCTTTGATTAAGGTACATGTTTGCATTCTTGAAATTCTTTTACTCTCAGACAATACTGAACGAACTATAGTTGAAGATATTGACATTCTAATTTAGAATTGTGGAGCATTTATCAAGAGCTTCAAAAAGATGTATCAATTTTTCCCAGATGGCGCTCAGTTGCCATCTTGAAAGTTTCATCTGTCAATCGGACAGATGGAAGAAGCAATACGAAGAAAACGTAAGGTATCGTGGAAAAACTATGCAGGGCTTTTGCACCTGCTCACTGCTAATTGTTTGGCAAGAAACAACACTGCAGTCATGTCTCGGCCACCATATTCAGCAGATTTAGCCTCCTGCGACTTTTTCCTCTTCTCGGGACTGAAAAGACCCATATAAAAACCGTGTTTTGCGATGTTTGAGAAGAGCTGAGAGAACGCTGAGAGAACTCAAGAACATACCAAAAAGTGCATATCAGAACTGCTTTGAAAACTGCTGCACCAGTGTATTATATCTGAGGGGGTTAAGTTATGGTAGGTCCAAAGTAAGTGGGTCTATTCAACGCTCCACCGCAACCCGCAAGGGTTTATTGTGGCTCACACCTATTCACACTCGACCAAATAAACCCAGCTTCTTAACGAAGCCGATTAGTTTGTATGGTAAGTGCCGAACTTTAAAAACCCCGATTCCTTCCCCAGCGGGGCAGGCACATAGTATGTGCTCTACTGTTTCATCATTTTCCAAACAGAAGTGACATACACTGTCTTCCAACAGTTCTGTCTCTACAAATCTGAGGGGGACAACTTTGATGGGTACAAAATATAAATTGATGAATAATGAATAGTTTTTGAGAAAATGAAAATACACTTAATTTTTTCAACAGAGAAGTACATAGGAGTAGGACCTTTCTAGTGTTGTGGACAGAATTCCGTGAATTTTTCTATAAATTAAAAATTTACATGAAAATGTTCCCAACATATACATACAGCGTGACTCACGGTCGATGGTAAGTTAGACGTTTCTGGAAAACGCAAAGCATGTTTTTTCTGAAAATTTCACCTTTCACATTTCCTTACCTGTTCTATTGATCTAAAATATTTTTAGCATTGCGGCATTGCCACTTCTATCAAAAAGTCCTAGCAATTATATTTTTTTAAATGGAACACCCCATATATTAATACATTTTTGGAATCGCTCTGGTATTTTAATACTTTTTTGT